AGGAATTGGAGAAGGTCAATCAACATCTAGGCCACCGCTTTTTGATGGCACCAACTACACATATTGGAAAGAGCGGATGAGAATTTATATCCGCTCAACCAACTTCCAGTTGTGGTTGGTCATCAAAAACGGCGAAGAAACGCCAATGAAGAAGGTAAATGAAAAACTTGTCCCAAAGACCGAAGACGAATTTGATGCCAAAGACATCAAGAAGGTGGAGAACTACGCCAAGGCAATCAACATGCTGTACTGTGCGGTCAATCCCGATGATTATCGCAAGATCTCTTGCTGCACCACTGCAAAAGAAATGTGGGACAAGCTGGAAGTCACATATGAAGGTACGGACCAAGTTCGGGAAGCCAAAATTGACTTCCTAATGCAGGAGTACGAGATGTTCAGGATGAAGGAAGGCGAAAAGATCGATGACATGTTCGATCGGTTCTCAAAGATCATCAACGACCTTCACCTTCTCAAGAAGACGTATGCCAACAAAGACCTTGTGAGGAAAATCCTGCGTAGTCTCACACCCGAATGGAGATCAAAGGCTGACGCAACCTACGAATCCATCGGAGTCTCAAATGTCACCATCGACGGGCTAAGAGGTAACCTCAAAACTTATGAATCTACTATTCTAACTCCGTCTTTGGATGAACAAAAGAAGAAGGGAATAGCACTGAAAGCAACCAAGGAGACCATGGAAGAAGACTCAAGCGATGATGACAACGAGTTCGGACTCGTCATCAAGAAATTCCACAAATTTATGAAGAAGGAATTTGAGCGCAAAGGAAGAAAGCATGAAGGTCCCCCGAAGTGCTATGGCTGTGGTGAGATAGGCCACATCAAGCCGAGGTGTCCAAAAGGTAAAAGCGGCAAGGACAAACCTGGCTTCAAAAAGCAATGCGCCTACATCTCATGGGGTGGCGACTCCGGGGAGGAGTCAACGGATAAAGAAGAGGAAGAAGCCGCCAACCTCTGTCTCATGGCACACGAAGACCACGTCAATGAAGTACAAGAGGTATGTACCCCTTCTTCCGACTCTTATACTTTTGAAGAAATGCAAGAAGCTCTTCAAGAACTTTATGATGAATTTATTAGCGCTTCTAAAACCACCAAATCATTAAAGAAACATCTTTCAACTCTTGAAAATGATTTTGAAAAGCTGGAAAAAGATAATGAAAAGTTAAAACAAGAAAATAAATTTTATGGTAAAAGAAGTGCTGACAAACCGGAAAGCTCTTCAAGAGAATGTGAATCTTGCAAAGCTTTAAAAGAAAAAGTTGAAAAACTTGAGAGTACAGTTAAGAAGTTTAATACACCACACAAGGATCTCAATTTACTCCTAGACACTATGCATTTTTCTAAGGAAGGAATAGGTTTTGATAAAAATGAATCTAAGGATAAAAACGTTGAGCATACACCTAGACAACCTTCTAAGGCTCAACACAAGAAAGTTAAAAATCAGGATAATAGAAAATCTAGTCAACCTAAGGACACTAGACAACCTAGACAAAAACCTAGGAATGAAAATGTGCATGCTAGACAACCTAAGAAAAATTATCAAAATGATTTTATGCATAAAAATAATTTTTCAAATAGACAAAATAATGCTAGGACACCTAGAAGAGAGAATTTTCAAAAACCAATATTTTCTCAAAATAGGATGAATATGGTTAGGCCCCCCAGCAACTATTATCAACCTAGGAGGATGCACAACCCAAATGTAGTTTGTCACTATTGCAACAGGGTAGGACATATAGCTCCCGTTTGCTTTACCAGGCATAGGCATTGGGCACAAAATGAATCACACTACCACTTTGCACCTAACACTCAAGGACCCAAAAAGACTTGGGTACCTAAATCTTATTAAATCATTTTTGTAGGTGTGCTTGAAGGCGTCAAGTGTACTTTGGTACCTTGATAGCGGATGCTCCAAGCACATGACTGGAGATGCATCCAAGTTCCTACAAATCAAA